CCCCCCTGCCAGCAGTTTCACTTTGAGTTAGTGTGTTTTATTTCTTAGATAAGATAAGGAAACATGGAGATCTGCTCACGCTGAGACTGGGATGAGATTTTCCCGCGGCTCCGCCCCCGGCTGTCCGTCACAGAAGAACCGTTCCCTGAGGTCGTTCTCTGGGTCCGAACGCGACCTGACGGAGAAACACAAACAGGAAACAAATCAGCGTTTCTAAAGTCACTTTAAAATAAAACACTGGACAGTTTCTACACACATGCAGAAACAGAGGGAAATGTGACGGACAGATATGAAACAGGGACTGGTATTTCTCTAAAACACGTCTAGAAAACATATGAGTGAACCGAAGATGATACACCATCTGTTCTAAAACCCACCAGCTGACACCAATGGAGCCAAATTGATTAAAAAAAACTTCTTGAAATCGACTTTAAATGATCCAGGGCTTTTGTTTCTTTGGGACAGTACACCATGCGCAGACACACAGTCCATGCTTTGACAGATGACATCACTGATGACATCACTGATGACATCACTACAGTACTGGTGTGTGTGTTAAACACAGCTTACCGTCTGCACTCACAGACGAGCAGTCGTCTGACAGAGGAGAGACAACAGGGTCAACTTTACCGAAATGCTAAGCAAAATGTGTTCAAGCTCATTTCCCCTGCAGAGATAGCACACTGTCCGTAGTCATAGTGTTAGTAGTCATAGTGTTAGTAGTCATAGTGTTAGTAGTCATAGTGTTAGTAGTCATACTGTTAGTAGTCATAGTGTTAGTAGTCATAGTGTTAGTAGTCATAGTGTTTGCAGCACAAGGGAAATGTAGTTTTTTCATGGTGACTCTCACCCAGGGATGCGTAGGATCCGGGGGGGAGGGTGGAGGCGGAGCTAAAGGCTGCCGGCACGGCGGGCATCCTGCGGGCGGAGGACGAGGCGGCGTTCACATCCACATCACTGCGAGAGCGCTGGAGGGAGGGGGGAGGGGCAGGTACTGGGGGGCGACCGTGGGAGGCTTTGGCTACAGGAGGGGGGAGAAAAGCAACGTTTAGAGAGGAGTTTTATTCCCCAAATAAAATAATAATAATACTTTTTTTTTAAACTGTAAATTTTGTAAAATAAAAAAAATACATTAACAAAATGTATAAAATAATAAATAAACTAATTATATAAATAAACAAAGTGACTTACTTCTTGTTGAGCCGCTTCCAAACGTGTTTTTTACAGGCGGGGGTCGACTGTGGAGACAAAGTGCATAAATAATAATAATAAAAAAGGACGGTTTAACCAAAGAGAGTTAGTATATCAGTAAATCCTGAGGGGGAGGGGGCTCACCTGAGGCTCTCCTGGGAGGAGGAGGAGGATCGGTCGCTGGCAGGAAGGGATGTCACGCTGTTCTCCCCCCCCCTCTGGTGCGCCTGCAGAGCTTTCTGATAGGACGCCTCTAGACTCTGGAACAGCTGATCCGCCTCCCGCCGGAAGTGAGCCTGGTAACTCCAGTAGCACCTGCAGAGAGACATGTTAACGTCACGCTACTGTGTGCACGCTTCCTGTTTAACATGTTAACGTCACGCTACTGTGTGCACGCTTCCTGTTTAACATGTTAACGTCACGCTACTGTGTGCACGCTTCCTGTTTAGCATGTTAACGTCACGCTACTGTGTGCACGCTTCCTGTTGGAGAGATATTATTTAAATTGCATTTGTAGTAACATGATGTCTTACTTTCTGGCCACGGATCGAGCCTCTGCGTCTGCATCGTGGATCCCTTTCTTTATCGTCTCCATTAAAACTGTCCCATGTCTGCAGAGAGGGGAAGGAGAGGACAACAAACATTGAATAAAGTTGTTTATGTACAAGGTAAACAAATTGATATTATCTGACATCAACAGGTTTTCTCTCGCAAATCTAAAACATTATAATCCCACAGATTTCTTTATATTCCCTGGGATTTTATATATATATATACTGTATATTATATCTTTTTACAGTATATTTGTGATTAAATATCGTAAATTCTCTCTCTCTCTCTCTCTCTCTCTCTCTCTCTCTCTCTCTCTGATGGATCGACGGGAACCAGAGAGCTCCCTGGAGTCGGGGGGCAGACGAAGATCAGACCCCGACCCGGTGTCATATTTCCTGATCGTGCAGCATGTTGTACTTNTTCACAGAACTAAAGTATGCTTTTAAAAAAGGTTTAATGAGATGCTGGAATCAAAGTTGAATTATATAAAAAGGCACACATGCTGAAAATCCAACCCCAGCAGGGGGGTCTGAGGGGATTCTCCCCAAGGAGATTTTTAGAAATACTAACATAAACTATGCATTCTGGTACACTCTGAGAAGAAAATAAATAGATGTATTACGACATATTAATAATATTTTATGCCATTGTTTGTTTTTCACTTTGTTCTGACAGCTGAACTGCGAGAAGAGCAAAGAGGAGATAGTCTGTGTGAAATACTTTAAATTGTGGGTAAGGGTAGATAGCCCCCATTGTTCTGTGACCTGTCAATCATCAAACCGGGGGTCATATTTCATTATGTGTTAATTTGTATCTGAAGTTGTACCCATGGATGTATAAAGAAGAGTTCTACCGCAAAGTTATTCTCCGTGGGGACTTCCGGCTACAATCTTGATTCTGATTGGCCAGAAGACTCGAAAAAACATCAGCAAAGATGTTTTATTGAGAAGATGATCACTACGTGACAGAAGTTTTCAAAACCGTTTATGGTCTCCGGCACTTTCAGTCCAACGCCTACTGCATGCACAGCGTTAGAAAATCGGACCTTCAAAATAAAAGTTTGACTTTCCCCCCCCAAAAAAAAAGGAATCTTTTTTTTCACTCACACATCTGCGACCCACTCGAAACGGGTCCGCGACCCACTTTTGGGTCGCGACCCACCAGTTGAGAACCAC